CCCTCTATCTGCTGACTCCCAAGGTGGGAGGTGAAGTACTATGCCTTTCCAGCTAGAGTCTGAGAGCTGGAGAGCACACAGCATCTCATGGTTTTCTGTGTAAAACACAGTGGATCTCACAACTTTCACTGAGCCCTTCTTGATCTGCAGCAGAACTCTCCTCAAGAACCAGTGACATGGAAACGGTCCTGTCACCATGGTTCAGTCCACGAGCACAGGCAATTCATGAGTCTGGAGCATGTGTGACGTGCGTGGTGAGATGAAAAGTGTTCCATTTTATTCAGTATCCACTCAGTTTAAACTTTTAGAAGATCACCCAACTGGAGCACGGTAATTGGGTGATTGTTAAAATCCATGCCCTATCTGTGCACACACCTTCCAGCTAAGCACCACACAGGCCCAGTGCACTTTCTACTTACCCCTGGGTTTAGTTGCTGTCTTGGTTACTTTTCTGTCATTGCTGAGACAAAATATCTGATGTCCAAAATGAAGGAAGGAAAGAATTGTTTGTCACAGTTTTGGAGGTTTCGGTCCATATTCCGCTGGCTCCAAGGGTTAGGGTTAGGAGTCGGTGAGGGGCAGTTGTTCACGGTGGCCACAAGCAACAAGAGTGAAAGGGCAAAAGAGGGGAAATGTGCACCCCCTCCCTCCCTTACATTGTATGCCAGCTCCCTGCCCCTGAGCGGGTGCAGCACTCATATTGCCAATCCCAGCTCTAGACAAAGAATCAATCACAAATCCTAGATTTAGCCACTTCCGTGATCGCATGAAGGCTTGGGGAGGTGGGCATCCGAACAGGACCATAACAGATGGTGATGGAAACAATGCACTGGAGCTGTCTGTGAGAATCCTTTAGCCAATTACCCCGCGAGGGGGAAGACAGCCCACCCCATCCACTGGGCAAACCTCCCAAGGGCTGGCTTGGACTCATCCTCAAAGTGGACAAGAAGGCCTCATCCATGGGAGCAGAACTTCAGAATGAGTTATGTGGAGACCCCACAGTGTCCAACCACTCTACCACCCCCGGCCCTTTGCTTCTTGCTTTTCAAAGAGGCCCTGGGTCAAGATGAGGCTCATCATGCAGCATGGCAGTACACAGCAGCATGGACTCCTCACTGGCCCCACGGCTGTGTCTGTCTACAGCACTGGTCCAGGGTGAGGAGGTGGGGACAGGAAAATGGAACCAGGAGCAAGTGGTGAAGCTGCAGAGCTGAGCTCCAGAGAAGAGCAGGCCTGCTAAGGGCACCACAACGTTTCTTTGAAGGGGAGCCAATGAAGAGAGGAGCAGGGATGGGGCTCTGGGGTCCTGCACAGACTGCATCTCCAGTGGGAACAGGTTCCTGAACTGGGACCCACTTCACTCCTCCAGGAGGACAGGGTGGACTAAAGAACCAGGGCCAGCAGCCACATAGCTGAGAAGGCACAGGCTCCTCAAAGAGGGGTCACGGGGTTCAGATCTGAGCAATCAGCACAGAGGTTTAGGTGCCCTTTGTCATGTATTCCCTTGAAGCTGCAGAGCTGAGCTCCAGAGAACAGCCCTGCTAAGGGCAGCACAGCATCTCCTTGAAGGGGAGACAATGAGGAGAGGGGCAAGGACAGGGCTCTGGGCTCCTGCAGAGACTGTGTCTCCAGTAGGAACAGGTTCCATACCTGGGCCACACTTCACTCCTCCAGGAATTTGGAGCACACTAAAGAACCAGGGCCAGCAGCTACGCAACTGAGAAGGCACAGGCTCCTCAGAGAGGGGTCATGGGATTCAGCTCTGAACCATCAGAACCGGGGTTCAGGTGACCATTGAGATGTACTCACTTGGGGGAAGACTGGATATGCCTAGGCCCCAATTTTTCTAATGCATCATAAGAGATTAGGAAAAATAAAAATCAAATGATTCCTACATCATTCAAAACAGAGACCATTTCATGGAGAATACAGAAACAAGACACCAGTGAGTTTATGTGCCAATCTTTCTATGTAAAAGCATTTGAATTGTGCAGAAAACATTTGTTATTGCTTACTATTTATTTTTTCATATCAAGAACACAGTAAAAATTTACATTTGCAATTATAGTATTTATCTACAGAGGCACAAATTCAAAGTACAGAAAAACCTGGGATTGCAAGAAACTTTTGCAGATGTTCACAAGAGAATCAAACATATCTATTAAGCTTTAACATGATGATTCTTGGTTTTTTGTATGGAGGACTGAACTCATGAACTTATGCCTGTCAGGCAGGCTCTTATGCCACTGAACTAAATCCCTGGCCTTTTAACTTGATTATCAAGGGAGTTCTGGCAATAAGAGAGCTCACTGATGCTGAAAGTCACATGACCAAACCTAAGCCAATGCTCCTGCCCAGCCCCCCAATAGCAAGAGGTTGTGGAGATATTTTCTGCAGAGGAAGAAAAAAGGCAGAAGAATCCCTGACTTCAAATAAGATTAAGCAGATGTTTAAAATGTGGGAAACAATGCAAAATTCTGTAGAAAAACAGCACCAGAATAAGGCTCTAGCAGTGAGCAAAGGATCTGTTTAATGACAATTCAATGTCACATTTCCACAGAGTGCTACAAAGGAAGCAAAAGCAAGTGCCAGGCTTCTATGTAATGCTGAATAAATATAAAAATGTCCACTAAACTCTTAGGTAACAGTGGTTCCCTTAGTCACAGTGAAAGTTAGATAACACAGTGTCCCTTCTCTCTCATCTCCTCCCATAGCCATGAAGGGGTTCAAGGACAAGGGGGTTTATTCCTTCAGTTATCTTTGTATCATGTATTTTCATTATTATTTTCAATTACATTACAGCATTGGAATCATTTTATCTGAATATTTTTGAGTTATGGATAAAAGTTTCTGAGCTGTTTTAAGCAGCAATTTGTTTTGACATACAAATGCTCTGGATTACAAGCATGTTCCTGCAGCAAATTATGCAAGTAAACCAATGTTTCACTGCATCTTAATACTCACAGAGCATGAGATAAAAAACAAAGCTCTTGGACATGGTGAGTTTATTCTGGTCTCATAAAGCACTTAGTAGGATTAAAGCTCTTGGTCTCTGGTGGATGTAAGCAGTGAAAATAAAGAAGTATGGCACTGACTTAATCTTAGTTTAAATTTGTGTTTTGGTTTGATGCTGCAAAGTTGAAGCCACAAGTACCCCTGCCTTACTCCTTAGTATAATTTGGAGAGGCGATGCCTCTGAAAAACTCTCCTGTTGGAATCATGACACCAAAGCAGAGATCCTAGCAGGAGGTCAGGGAAACTCTGCTGGTGTCAGAACAAACTCCAGAGCAGGCAGCATAGCTGGTATTGAGCCAGAAGCTTCTTGGTGGGAAGTATGTGCTTCTGAGTATGTGGGAATTAAGTGAAACACAGGGCAAGCTTCTTCCCATGCAGTGCGGAATCCTCTGTGAAAAAACAGAACCCTTGGGCCAGGACAAGTCAGGCTGCTGCAGAGGGATGAAGGCATGCTCCAGGACACAGTGGAGGAGCTGATGTCAGACTCAAAGCCATGAATATTATCTGTGTGTTAACATAAGCAATGGTTTACTGGAAACAGTTGCAAAAATTCTAGATAATATGTGCAGAGCCTCTAGGAATGAATGTGCCAAGGTATCCCCAATGTCCCCACAGCAGAGTGAAGATCTCACCAGAACATGAGGCTGGTGTAGGGAGGAGCACAGTCAGGCTTACCCAGCCCTGCAAGCACCAGGGCATGCATATCTGGCAGGTACTGCTCCTCTGCATGCAGCGGGCACCCGCAAGTAGACTCTAGGGCACCTGCTGGAGGATGGGATCTTCCCAACTCAGACAGGGCTGACCTCAGCCCTAGGACCATGGAGATTGTGTGGAGAGAGTAATGAAGGTTCTAGATGGAAGAAGCTGAATACAAGATTTGTTTCTATAAAACTTGCCAGTAGGTCTCTTTTCTGGAAATTCTTAAAATGTGCAAGCATTATATGATCCACTGCATTTACTCATTAACTGTGAGACAAAGAACTCTTTCTCCTGACCAAAACTGCACTGATTCATAAATTATTCTCCCAGCCGCTTCTGACTTTCAGATATTTTTGCAGTCAGGAAACGAAAGAGACACACTCAAGTTTGTGGAACTGGAGAACAAGCTCTTCTTGAATTGCAAAGGTCAGTATTTTGTTCCTAATGATGGTTAGCTGAGGCCCATTGAAGAGAGACAAAAAAGGGACCATTCTTGAATTCAGCAGATGTCCCTGTCACACTGGTAGAGTGAGCTGATCTTGGCTCAGTTCATGTATGAACTACAAAGCTTCCCTTTCCCTTACATCTCCTCAGGACAGGATTTTCCATGCTGTCCATGTCTGGGAAGGATGGGGAGGGAATAGCACAGGCTTCTGCAGAGATCTGAATCCACAGGTGACATAGGAAGAGGGGGCAGGAGCACTTGTGATAGGAAGGAGCTCATCCAGGATGGAAGGAAATGAGATGTGGAAACTCAGGGTCTGACAGTGGGCTGCCCAGGTCCTCCTTGTCACTGTGCACCTCATTCTGGGTCCAGTAGGGAAGAAGGAAATCACCAGCTGGAGCTGTGTGCTGAGACTCTTGGAGTTAGAACTCACTAAGTTCCAGGATCAAACTCACCGTTCAGCAACAATATTGGCAATAAAAACTCTTCAAAAATCACTCTATAAAGGCAAATTAGGTGAACTTGAAGTCTACAATCTGGCATTCCATTATGGGGTTTGTACAGAAGTAGCCACATTTTCTACACATACAGGTTGGGTAAAAAATGCAAGTTCAGCATTTTCAGTGATCACCTGTGACAGTCAGCTCAAACTGTGCTTGGCTGAGCTGCCTGGATCTTACAAAGACACAGCTGTACTGTCCTTCATCCCCAGGGAGGATGAGATGTATCCTCAGGGTGACCTGGCCTTGGCTGATGTTCTCTCTCAGGAGCTCTGTCCTCCCTTGGTACTCGAAACTCTGCTGCTCCATGTGGTCCTGAGAATTCCTGCACTCGTGCACCAGTAGTGATTGCTGGACCCAGTACCATCTGATCTCCATGTTTTGAGCATCCATGGGTGGGCTGAGGTGACAGGGAAGCACAGCCCCTTCTCCCACCTGGGCAATGACTGTTGACCTTGATATCTTCCCTTGGATCTTCCCTGGAGGTGAATAAGAAGATCACATTGTCATTGCTGAGAGCATGACAGGCATGGTGGTAGCTCTCTGACCAGACGGAAAAGACTCCAGGTCAGCCAGCTTGATGAGTTTGGACAGGAGATGAGCAGAGCTAAAGTAGGAGATGATGGTTTACTTTTATTTATTTTTACTCTAAAAAGAAAAAAAAACTTTAAAAAAACAATAAAACAGAGTTTCTAAACTATTGGTCATTTTCCATAATTAATATGTAGCATAGTTTTGTCTCTGGAGCAGCTATTCAGATACAAACAGGCTTACTTTAATATACATTAAGGTTTTCCAGGTTGCTTAGTGTTGTAAGTCAAATTCACAAGAAGCAGGGTACTTAGATTATCATATCCTAGGTATTGGAGGGCATTATTATTTTAAAGATGAGGGAATTCAATCAGTGTGTGCTCTAATATGGGACATAAAATGAACAGTTTTAAATAATGCCAAATATTTCTTTGCTTGATAGCATATAGTATTCATAGCTGTATAATCATATAAGCTAATTAATTGTAAAGTATTAAAATGTATGTTTTTCTCCCACCCAAGTCTAACCAATCCTAACCTTTCTTAGCTTCTGATATCAGAAGAGATTGGACATTTGTGCTGTGGTATGTCCATAGGTAAAACTAATATTTTTCTAGGCAATGTGTAAAAGACATTCTCTATTATTTTAGAAAATGGATTTATGTGGCCCAGGAAGAATAATTGGACCATGGGTTGCTATGTGGCTATGTCCACCACTGTAGATTCCACATCTCGGTTCAGCCACTACCAAGTTGGGCTGGCTCAACCACTCTGCATGGAACAGCAGAAATGTCAGTGAAACAGCAGACGTGGTCATGTGCATGGCAAGAGTCTGGAATAGGAGATGCTATAAGGCTGACTAGAGGAAGAGTTAGTGGCATAGAAGTCAAGGAAATAGTCACTCAAAAGTAATTATCTAGAAGACCATATAAGACTGACTAGAGAAAAAAGTCACATCACAGAATCTGGGAAACGAGCCACTGAAAGAAAAAAAAAAAAAAAAAAAAAAAAAAAAAAAAAAAGATCTAGAAGATCCGTCGTGGCTCAGAAGAGGAGCCACGTCGGAGAGACTCAGACAACATCCACAAGAACACAGAGCAGAGAGGACAAGCGGGAGGAGTAGTGGGTCCCAGCAGCTTCTCCAGGACACGGGGTCTGAAGTCTGGAATGGGACTTCAGTGGGAAGAACCTGAGGCTCTGTCCTGAGTGACCTTCAGTGCTGATAGTGGGTGAGTATCCACCTCACAAATGCCCAGAACATATCTGCACAGTGTAGGCAGGGACAGAAAGACACTGTGGGAAGGCCTGGGAGTCTGAACTTCAATCTCAGAGCAGCCACCTGGTGACTTCAGAATGACAAAGACCCATGGTTGATGAGGAAAAAACAATCATTGGAGACTGTTGTCAGTTGGACAACAGATTGGGGTGAGTCCCACTGAAGGTAGGGACTGGAGATCACAGATCCAGGACGTGGATCAGGCACCAGACTCATCCTGAGTTACCCAGAGTTGGAGGCTCACATTGGCAGTGTGTTCTCACTGTTGAAGGAAGACCCTACTCCAGGACACACAGAACAGGAGCTGTGGTATGCTGTTTCTCATCTAACCCTGGCAACCAACAGAGAAATGCATTGATCTCTTACTGCTATGGCTGAATTTGATGTCAATGAACTTCTCTGCTGAGTCTGCCATCACAGCCAGGCTTGGGGCAGAGAGAGTTCCTTACTCCAGAACTCAGGCTAGATCAGACGTAAAAATTTATGCAAGCTGCAGAAACAGGTCCTGAGGCTGAATGAACTCTGCTTTGCAGGAAAGCAATCATAGGTGACATTGGGTGTGAGCACTCAATAGAACTAGTTAAAGGAGCTGCTTGGGAATCACATTTGCAATGGCTCATTGCAATAGCTCATCTCTGTTCCATGAGACATCTTATTGGTTTAAGATTTTTATGTTACTTCAATTATTTAGTAATGTGGAGTTGTGTTCTTTTATGGTCACATGTGCATATTACAAGGTCATTCATATATATTTGTGTTTTAACTGGCTCTGCTTTAATTGGTAGTGAGGTTCTGCTCCTTTTCTAAAAACACACAAGCTGGGAAGTGGGAAGTAACTGTAAGATCTATTATGTAGAAATGTTGTAAGATGGAATCTGTGAAAGTTTTTATAAATTGAAGCAAATCTTATGACACAACAGAGGAACAGAGTCAAAACCAAAGTAAATGGCAGAAAAAAATGAATACTAGAGCTACACATATAAAGCAGCAAATTATTCCTATGGATGCCACATGCTACTAAAAATCTCCAGGTAACAACATGCATCCTTCATTTATTTGTCCCTAACCTGTAGAAAACCCTGCTCCAAAAATGGGTAGAGAAAAAAAGGGAGACCCATATAATTTAAATATATACATATAGATATATAGATATAGATATACATATAGATATAGATATAGATATAGATACATCTAACTAAATATATAAGAGAATGGGAATATTAGGAAATAAACCCCTCCAGGTCCCCCTTGGCAGACCAAATGATCTCTAACAGAAAACAATACTACATAGCAGACATCTGTGGAAAGTTCCGGGAAGGGTGGAGAATGTAGCTGAGTTCAAAGAGGAAATCAACCAAGAGTTCACAGCCCTATACTCACTATGTTCACAGTGAATTTCAGGGAAGTAAGTAAGAACTGGAGTAGTTGACAAAACAGTCCAAAACTTGAATGACAGATTTAACAAGGATATAGAATGCTCAAAGTTTGTCAGACAGAAATTCCTGAAATAAAAAACAGTATAGAATTCATTTATTCCAGAAATAACCAACCTGAACACACAGTACCTGATATTAATGACAAAATAGTGCATTACAATTTGTAAAAAACCTCAAAAAACCAAAAAATAAAATAAGAGAACAAGAGAACACTGTCCATCAAGTACAAGATTACAAAAAGAAGAGTTTAGCCCAATCAGAGTTAGAAAAAATCTAGAAGATCACACACTTGAGTTCACCAACATGCCTACAGAAATTAAGGAAGAAAGCTGTCCAAACATAAAGGATTTTAAAACATATGTATATGATCCTCCTACAACTCCACACAATCATGATGAAAGGTGAAATTCACCAAGGAACACCTTCATGAAATTCACATATATCCAGAAACAAAACAAAACCCCCACAATTTTAAAGGCATCCAGAGAAAACAAAACATCACACAGAAAGTTAAGCTAATTAAAATGACAGCAGACTTCTAAGCAGAAATCACGAAGGTCAGAAGAGCATGGAGTGAAGTATTTCAAGCCCTATGAACAAATAAATTTCAACCTAGAGTAACCTACCAAGCAAATGTATCCTTCAAAATACATGAGAACTAAGGTATTTCGATGAAATAATCAGCTCAGAGGACACATGAGTGCTGACCCAGCTTTGGGGAAAAAATTCGAGGATATTCTCTGCAGAAACAACAAATTGGAAACCCTAAAAGTACAGAAGAAACTCATGAATTCAGTAGATAAACAAGATCAAAAAACAACAGGACAAGAAAAGCAAATGATACACCCACAGATAAGGACAGCAATGAAAGTAAATGGCAAACACATCTCGGGAGTGTTTCTCGGTAGTAACTTTCCCAGCTCTCCAATCAGGAGACACAAACTGGCAGACTGGGTCAAGAAACAAAACCCCACAATGGCTTGCATTCAAGAATCTTATCTAAGCCAAAGATGTACTCATAGACTAAAAATTAAACTATAGAAAACAATATTCCATGAAAAGAACCCCAAACAGGCACGAGTGCATGATAAGTACCCAAATCCAAAATGCTCAAGGTCAGAAGAGTTTTACTCCTCAGAGATTTGTGGGCTTTGGAACATTCACATTGCCTTTAATAGGTTAAAAATGCCAATAACTAAATTTCAAATCTCAAATGCACTTAAATTTTAAGTGATCCACAATCTGAAACATTTGGATGACTGTAGCAGAGTATGTTCAAAATGTTTCAGGTTTCCAAGCATTTTGGATTTGGGCTTTTGTAATTATATTTATGTATCCTACATTGTATGCAATTATTCTTATGAAATGAAATTCAGGTCAGGGCATCAGAACCTGAAGCGGTAGAGTAAAACAGATAAAATGTAACACAATATGCTCATTCTCTTACAAGTAAAAGATATTCTTTATCCGATTCATTACATTGCTAACACCTTTGAATACTGCTCACTAGAATCCCTATGATGGAGATGAGAGAAAGACCTCTGATCCTACACTCAAAGCCTTTCCCAGACTCAGCTCCTTGGCAGCCTCTCCCCTCGTGCTGAGGGAGGAGAGCCCACCTCTGCTGAGAGCAGGGGGCAAGACCTGCCCATGTCCTTTCCTCCTCCAGGGCCCTGAGTGCTGACAGAGGAGGGCAGACCCAGCCCTCATCAGCTCTGCATGAGCAGCTCTCAGGGCCTTGCTCCATCTCACCCTGCAGACTGGATTCAAAGCTAATGAGTGAGGATGGATGTGGAAAAAACACTGCAGAGAAAATGCCTCCTTCCCAGAACACTAGAGATGGCCCTGGATGGCAGAGGGGAAGCAGCCTCAGGAGCTGCTGATGCTGGTGGAGGATTCTCAGGGATCACAGACACAGGAGAGTTTCAGACCTGTGTCTCATTTCTGTTCTGAAATTTGAGAGAATATTTAAGCAATAAAACCTTTAGAGAATTGTCTTATCCATTGCATTTTACTCCCCTTTGAACCTCTCCTGCACTTACAGCTCCAACAAAACCCACAAGAAGTACATGTCGAGGTCAATAATGCCCTGTGTGAGTCTTTGATGGAGAGAAGAGCAATGTGATGAGAATCAACGCAACAGCTCAGAATCACTATGCAGTCCGAATGGAGAACATGAACTGGAGGAAGAGCGAGCACCATGAGCTCAGGGCAGGTGATTCCAGTAGACGGGCAGTGGGCTCATTCAACAGTGGGGGCGGCTTTCTCTGAGGGCTTTGGAGTACAAATATTTTAAAGCCTTCTCCTATGCTCACGTTCACTTTATGGTGTAAAACACTAGAGTAGGTGTGATAATACAGGAGTAAATTTTCACCTTTACCCACACATTAATCTGAACTCATGGCGTGATATTTTACAGATTGTTAAAGTCATTATTTAAAATTGGGTCATCTTCTGGGCATCGTGTCCTACTCCTGTGACCCCAGCACTCAGGAGGCTGAGGCACAAGGATCACTATGAGTTCTAGGCCAGTCTGGGCTAAAAAATGAGTTGAAGGCCAGTCTTAACCAAATAGCAAAACCTTATCACAAAAAAAGAACTGGATCATGTTTACACTTATATTACAGTCTATATCTGGTTGTTCCATAAAGTCTTGGTGGTCACTGGCAGGGCCTTATAAAAGGTGCAAGGATTACAGGGCCATTGCAGCTGACTTGCTGCTGTGGACAGAGGTGGTCTGAGAGACAGTCATTGTGAAGTTGATACAGGAAGGTGATGGCTCCCTGACTCTTTGCTTCCTGTTCCCCATGCTTTGAGCACTTCCCTTCCTCCATTCCCCTCTGCCATGCTGTGCTGCATTGGGACCACTGGACTGTAACCCGAAAGGTGAGCAAATGTAAAGCTCCCCTCTTTTAAGATGAGTCAGGAATTTTTTCCAGCAATAAGAAATAAATGAAGTGACATTTTTGTCTAACAGGGAAATGAAGTATAGCAAACCACAACAGTAAACCAAAATAAAGATACAATAAATACAGATTTCAACACAGGAAGGCAGCAAAGATACTTACAGATGAGTCTATAGCATAAGAAATTAGAGGAAGGAGAACTGTATGAATAAAATAGAAATTTGAAATTTAAAAGATGAATCACAGAAACATAGGATACCGCTGAGACATTCAGGAGAAACAAAACTTGCTGTTTCCATGGAAATGAGAAAACCAAGGCCAATGACACATTCAAGGAAAACAAAAGGTTCTCTAGAACAGAGCATCTGTGCTGAGCACCCCTCTCTAAGGCTGAAAGGCCCTCGTGTGGTTGAGGAAAAGCTCGGTGTGAGTGGGACCTAAACCTGCCCTAAAGCCCAGTCACATGTGAAGGAGGAGGAGACCAAAGAGCAGGGAGGACATGCAGAGGTCACCTCTCATGTGGGAACTCCACGCTGAAAGGGAAAAGCATGTGGAAATACCAGAAGCAACAGCCTGAGGGGAGAGCAGACAACTTTAGGAGGGCCGAGAGTAGAGATACTAATTTAAGAAATGCTCTGCAGTCTATGTGCCCTTTAAAATACTGATGCAAGACAAGTGAGTTTGGCAGGGAAAGGTCTTCCACATGGTTAGGATTCTGCCAGCCACACAGACAGAGGGAGGCAGGAAGACAACTTGATTCCACGTCCTTAGAGGAATCAAATAAGTGAAACGCATGGAGTAGCAGATTGGGGCCAACCTGCCCGGCATGTAGAAGACTCTGAATAATAGGCAGAGTGCTCAATTTAATTATTTTTCAGAAAATTTAGTTATAAAATGAGAGCAGGTATCCTAGTGCAGTGAAAATTCAGTATATATCATTTAAAATTTCAAAACAATGCAAAATTAATTTCAGAGTTTGCTTTTTAATACTAGATTGTAGAATAAAATATTCATTTCCATAGATTTATCTGACACTGACTGTATATTTTATATTGTTATTTCATTTTATCCTTCTTTCCTGAACATTTTCTAAGAAAAAAACTCCTAAAAGACAATTAGTAGGAAAATCTGTTTCCATATATTTAAAGGTGTTTTGCTTCTCTGTTTCATTTTAGTGTCTGAATGCTTTCTAGTATACAATACTGCATCTCTGCAGAATTTTCATTTTTAATCAGTAGTAAAATTGAGAATCTTATTTACTTATTAATAGTATTAAGTTTCTTTTTTTTTTAGGAAAAAATGCACTCCAGGTCTTAGATAAGCCTGAGCTTTAAAAAAATATATAAGGGGGCTGGGGATTTAGCTCAGCGTCATAAGCACCTGCCTTGCAAGCAGGCGGTCGTGAGTTCGATCCCTGGTACCGATAAAAACGAAAAAGACAAAAAAAATATATATATATAAAATGTTGCACTTTTTCTCCTGATTTTCAATTTCATGTTTCAAGTGTGCATTGCTCCTTTAGGTGGCTGGTCAATGATGTTTTCTGGGGAGACAGCAGAGCTAGTTTTATAGTGCAAATGCCTTGTGTGTTTTGTCAGAGTATGTTTATGCATTTTATTGCTGTTGCCTATATTTTAAGAAAATAACCAGAAACCATTTGCTCACATGCCTGAGATTTCACTCTTACCTTCCATTTGGTGGTTTTCATTTGAATTGAGCATCACATTATTTCAGTCAATCTCTGTCTGCGTTGCAGTTGTACTAAATCAGACCAATTTCCATGTCAGAAATGGTATTTAATCTTACTGTCTTACAGTCTTCTTAATCCTGAAAGACCTGTTAAAAGAATTCAAAGGTGGATCCCAATGCACTCAGAAGTGACAAGACAGATTTGTGTGCCCTGTGACTCCTTCTTTACACAGCCTGATGTGAAACGTAAAACAGTGAAGTATGAAGTAGCATCTTTTTAAGCTGCTCACTGAATGAGTATTTCTGCACATAAACACCTATTAAATGTGATTTGATGAGAGTAACCCAATTTGATATATATCCTTTAGAAGAGCAGTCTTTGTTTTCAACTGATGTTCCAGAGGATGCTTTTTTATTATTTTATTTTAAAAATAAAACAGCATAAAAATGACAAAAGGGAAAAGCATATATATATATATATATATATATATATATATATATATAATACATAAGACTGGTATGTGCTTGTATTGGTTGACCAAGGTTGCATGCCTGTATCTCGTAATCTATGCAACTGCTTTGAAGATAACATTATGTAATACATTAACCTTGTATTACTTGGTTTCAAATAATATCTTTGAAAACAAATCAAAGACTCCCTCTAAGTTCTCACAGGAGTGTGGGCTGAGCTTGCCACTGGGCACACATCTGAGTCTGGGTATCCAGTGGAGGGCAGCTTGTGACCCTAGGGGATTCACGCAGAGTCCCGAGTCAACTCTGGACAAGGTTTTCAGGAAAGAGTTAAAGAAGAAAGAAGGAAAGAATATGGAAATTAGCCTTTTGCAACTGGGCAGGGGAAGGAGAAAAAGTTAAGATGTTTTATATATGTGAACTCATCTTCCAGAATGATTGTAATTACTGTGAACTATAACAATGTGATATAAAAAAATAAATTTAACAAGTATAAAAACAAAAAAATAAGCAGGACAATTAAAAACAATTACTGAAAAAAGGTTATTTTAACACCTTGGCTTGCACTGCATTTATACAGATTATGAATGCAGTATTGCAATATTTAACCTTCAAAAACAAGGAAAGAGGGAAGGGAAGAGGACAGAGAGGGCAGCCCAGACCAGGCCTAGACCCTCAGGGGCAGCGTAGCTGAGGCCTCTGTGCAGGGGAGGGAAGGAGGGTGCAAGCCTCCTGGCTCCTCCTCACTCACCTGTACCTGACCAGGGCAGCAGTAGCCAGAGCAGGCGGGGCCTGAAACCCAGGGCCCAGAGCTGCATCGAAGGGGTTCAGGGGGAGGTGGGATCCTGTCCTTGCTCTGTCACAGCCATGGTCCAGGTCAGTCCACTATGGTCACTCTCCTGCTGGAAAAGAAGAAATATGAGTTCTGGAAAGGTATCTACATGCAGGGAATTGGAGCAGGGGTCAGTGTTCTCTTACTGTGTCATTTATAGAGTAAAGGACAAATGAGAAAGAAACGTGTAGCAGTGATTGACAGAATGATGAACTGAAAACATCACAGCATAGAAAAAAAAAAACTGACCCTAAACACTTTTTAGTTCAGATCTGTTTCTCTGAATTGAAATGAAAAGCTATTCATTTAGTCCCCCTAATATTTCCACATTATCAGTCATTAAGAAACTTCAACATACAGACTTATCCAGAAATATTTCACAATTATGAGGCCAAAACAGAAAAGGGAAATCTATAAGGACTTTCACAGCCTGGCAGGGATTGGAGCAAACACTGACCTGATGAAGGGCTAACCAGAGGCACCCCGTGCCTCCCGAGCTAAGTTCACCATTTCTCAACAGCACTTGCTTATTTTAGGTTTCAGGCACAAACATGACCAGGAGCACTCCCAGCAGTTTTACTCAATCTCTGGAAACGTAAAAACAGCCTAGAAATGTCCCGTGGTGAGCACAGGTATTCGCTCTGCTCCGGATGGAGAATCGTGGGCAGTGGATGCCAGTGTCAAGACTGCCCAGGAGGTGCTGTGCGGAGTGGGCAGAGCCCTCTCTAGATGCAGGTAGTGGGGATCCTTTCCCCTGAGCCCATGTGGAGGAAACTCAGGGGCAGCAGGGAGGAGACCCAGGCACAGCGGGCAAATGGGTGGGGACAGCTGGGCAGCCCTGGGACCAAGGGACACTGAGCTGCTGTGAGTCAAGGTCATGGGAATCTGACTTGGGAAGGGATGGACACACTCAAGCACAGGGATAGGAGCAGCCCATGATTCTGGGTTAAGTTTATAAAATAATTATTAAAACATGGTGACAAAATAAAAATAGACTCAAATTAAAAGGTCAGCAGTGCTGATAAATACCCCACAGGCCTCCCAGCAATTCTACTAAGGTACACAGCTAGGAAATGGGTATCTTCTTGAGTGGCAGCCTTAGGAACCCAGAGGAAGTGGTAATCCCACACACTCAAGACTCTGCACAAAGTGCTGTGTCTGGGTTACTTTTCTGTCATTGCTGAGACGCATATAGGGAAGGGAAGTTTTGTTTAGCTTACACTTTACGGAGGTTTGAGTCCATACTCAGCTGGCTCCAAGGCAGGGCAGCATGGCTGACATGTGTCCAGGAGCCAAATCACAAAACGGAAAGGCCTCTTCTCTTCCTTATATTGTACTCTGGCTCCAACCCTGGGTGCTTTTAGCTCTCACATCACCAGCTGGAAAGCTAGACAACAAGACAACAAATGCTAGACTCAGCCACCTCCCTGTCTGCAGGAGGCTTTGTAAGGACATCCAAACAAACCACAGCATGCTGTAGGTGGTCAAAGATCTTCCTGAGGAGTCACCACACAGGGACTGGGGCAGAAAAGCAGCAGCAGAGTTAGTCACATTCCACAGGGGCAGCTGCAGCAGGGCCCCAGGGAGCCGCTCCAGGGCAGGGAAAGCGGCTGAGCTCAGGGGCAGGCGGTGCTGGAAGAGGGGGCTTGGCTCCCTCTCCCCCTGTGGATGGCTCCTGGTAACCAGGTCCTGGGTCAATCCTAGCTGTGTGGTATCTGGTGCTAAGAACACAGCACAGGTCTGAATTGGCCTCTTAAGGAAAGTGTTTGGGAATGAATTTAATCAGCTCTTCAGGAACTGGAAAGGATCAGCCTTCTGCCTGAGCCTCAAATATAGAAAATGCAGCACCTTTTCTTTTTAAAAAGCTACAGTATTGTTAGTATCTTGATGTCTTAATATTTGCTTTCAGCCCACTTTTTACTGTATTTAGGTGATATACAGACCAATATAAAATTGGAGGATTTTATATGTATATTATAGTAGAAGAAATTTCACAGAATAACAATGAAATTAAAGTGGTCAAATATTTTCTCACGATCATGAAAGGAAGGAAAAAATTCTCTGCACAGAGAACTTTTAGATCTTTGTAGATTTGCTACAGCAATGCGTTTTTTGTTTGTTTGTTTGTTTTTGGTACCGGGGATCAAATTCACAACCTCACACTTGCCAGGCAGGCACTTAAGCTGCTGAGCTAAATCCCCAGCCCTAATGGTTTTCATTTTTATGGTATTATACAAAAATTAGGCCAGAAATTTTGGCAGATCATAATTATTTCACAGCATGTGAGATTCTTTGCTGATGATAATAATACCTCCATGTATTCCTCAAATTAAATGAGTAAGTTTGATTTAGGTTGTTGGGTGACATGAGCTCAAGGAGCAGATGGGTGGCTGGTTGTCTCCCTGGAGACTGAGAAAAAAACAGGTATGATGCTTAAAGAAAATAAAATTCTCCAATGACCTTTGCCTAGATTTTAATGACCTTCATAGGATTATACTGTGGTCATGGGGGTACAGACGAGTGTATTTTAGGTCACAGTATTCAGTATAGTAGGATAATGCCTAACCAGATGAAGAGCTCAAGAAATATAAGATTCCCTAATGACAAAGAAAAGAAAACAAATGTCATATTTACAAGTACATTAGAAAATTGGTCCATGCGGTCACTTTTGATAAGGTTTGTTTGGGGTTAAATCCTTTCCACAGTTCCTGTACCAGGCCATTGTCATCAGGGATGGCTGGGCATCCATCTGAATAAGTCGGTACTAAATGGGATGGGTATGAGCAGTGATCAGAGCTCTGAGTAAGGTGAACACACAGTGTCTGCAGCTGAGGCTGAGCTCTGGTCCTATTCCCACTGAGGTGACTCCCAAGGGTTGTTCCTGGGGGGCCTTTGACTCTTGGGAGCTGGGGCTGCTGACAGTTGAGCGGTGAGTTCTTTAGACCACAGGATGACATCAGAGAAACATTCATGTTTGTTGGAAATAATGTCTCACTTGGAGTTTGGGTCTCCCCACTGCAAACAAATCACAGTACCCACCCAGCAGGAATCAGAACAACGGGCAACAGAACTCCGAGAGGCTGCACTTGTCAGTCTCCTGCTGTCTGAGCAGAAGTTTCTCCAGCATTATTATCAATGGTGATTGACAAGTTTCCTCTTGTGGAATATGACATTGTCTTCATGATAGCCATTAAAGGTGATTTTAAATTTATAAAGTAGAGTTACTTCTCTGCTGTCTCTGACTTACAGTGTCAGTGGAAATGGTAGCAGAATCTTAACTCTTTGGAGGGAATCAAAGGGTGACATCTAGTAAGTCATCCACAATTTCTCACCCAGATATAGAGGAAAGCTCTGTGTATGGCTGCAGATCAGGCTGAAGTGGGCCCCATGTCTGATGGGCAGGGTCCTGGTCTACTGGACAGCCTGTGGTTACGAGTCCAGAAGTCCATGAGTCCATGATTTAACCACGTGATGGGATGAAATCAGGGTCAAAGTACAAAATCACATGAAGGTGTATTAAAGCACCTCATATGTAAAGAACACATATTTTCACATGGCATACAGGAAGACATGAAGAGGACTGTTACGGTAGTCATGAGGTTAGAGTTAAGAATTTGGCCTTGACTCAATAATGGTTAAAGCAGGGTCTTGGCAGAGACTCATTTAGGTACATATAGTAACTTATTATAAATGTTTCCAGACTCTGATTAAACAATTATATGTGTGACTAACAAGGTTAATGAAATTTACTGAGAGCTTTTCCAGCCTCAGCACTGTGTATCTGAGAGATGATATGGGTCACTATTCCTGGAGTCAGTGACAGAAGGGGACAGGGTCCTGACAGAGCACACACTGTTTCCATCTCCAGCAGAGGTGGGGATTGCAGTCTATGTCCTAAGCGTCTGCATGGTGAGACCTGCTGATTTATTGCCAGGACATTGGTAACGTTGTGGCAGTTCCTAGAAGTAAATGTGGAAATGGGTCATTTGTGCAGCAAAAGCAAGTTTGCCTGACCTGCGGACAGTTGGGCAGCAGCGTGAGTCCCGTGCTGTTCTACATCGTCCCGGTTGAAGGATGAAGACAGCAGGATAACAGCTTCATCACCTCCGGTGCTCGATGGTCCTGCTCACTGCTCCAAAACACTGGTGGTCACTCACTTAATGGTGAGAGTGTCTCGAGATATCCAGTGGGTTCCGGGGACACAGGACCTGCGCCGGCACCATGGAGCTATGCCAGTAGCCTAGGACAGGACAGGTCGGCCACAATCCCAGCTAGAACTCCTCAGGGAAGGACAACTGGCTCTCCATGTAGTAAAACTCTCAGGAGTCACGCTGAGCTTGGGGACATTCACTTTTATAATCAAAGCATGATGGACAGGGGAGCACTTAGGGTCACAGGTTCAGAGACAGCCTCTAATGCTAAGAAATCTATGTGTCAGTTCAGCAGTTTCCACTTTCATGATATAAAGAACAAAGCACGGTAATTTCTTCCTGTCAGAATCCCACACAGTCCCCCTAGCGGATGACCTGCGCGTCCCCCTAGCGGATGAGCCGCGCACCTGCGCGGTGCCCGCGGTCCTGCAGCAGGGACCTCAGCCCATTCTGGCTTCTCATCGCTGCTGTCCTGCGCCGTCCGTGCTCGTTTTCCCTCCAGGATCTGGAGAATCTGCCCCAGCAGGCATCGCCATCCTGATTTTTCTGCCCCAGCCTGCAGACCCTGGACTGAAGCCCGAATCCAGGAGCCCCATGAACCCCACCGCAGCCTCAGGGCTGCGGTGCCCTGTGTCCAGCAGCAGAGAAGCAGCGCTGGAGCGGCTGTGCGTGGCCCCCTTGGCCCTAGGCGCGCTCAGCAGGTCGGACTCGCTGCAGGGACCAGGCGGCGGGGCCTGGGAGGCCAAGGACCCTGCTGCCCAGTCCGAGCCTCAGGAACCGAGTCTTGGCCGCTCCGTCTTCATTACCACCCCTTTTACATAGGACTGTGGTCCCAGGACCCGGGATCTCCCCTCCCTCGCTGTCCTCCCAGAACGACGGTCTAGCGGGGAGGAGCAAAGGCCGAGAGGGGTGAGCCAGGAGAGCCGCGTAAGCACTGCCTCAGCGCGGAGCCGACGACTTCCTGCAGCAGGAGGGGAATAGAAGAGGAGGAGGAGGCGCCGGGAGCTGCAGCCTGCGCAGGAAAGGGCTCAAGCTTCCGGGGCAGGGGCGGAGTGCGCACGCGCAGACAGGCCCACCGTCAGACTACACTCGGGACGCTGAGGGCCCTGCGCCGGGCTGAGGCTCCTGCGGGAAACTCAGGTCTGCGAAGGCTGACTAGGGGAGCGGGCGCCAGGACCCAGTTCTCAGCCGGTCACCTCTCTGCGTGGGCAGGCACAGCTGTGCTGCGGGGAAGGCGGTGCTGTTCCGTCCTTATCCCGGTCGCCGCCGCCTCTGCACCGCTGTTCTCCTCACCAGGGCAGGGATGCCCGGGCGCGTGCGCAGGCCTCTCTGCTTTCTATCCGGAGCGGGCGGCCCAGACCGAGCAACCCGGGCTCTGTAGGACCCGGCCTGGAGCCAAGGCTGCTTTCCCGCGATTCTTAGCCCGGAGGACCACAGAATGAATTTCCCAGGCCGCGTTCCCAACACTGCCTGAGCTCTGCCCACTTCCCCTGTGCAGACACAGAAGCTCCTGCTCCTCTGCTGCTTAGAGCAGCCAGAGTGGGTGCAGTGTGCTGATGAGGTCTCTCTTTCCTGCACCTCCCTGCGCCCCAAGACTCCCATGTCCGGGACCCCTTTCTTCAGGGTCACCAGGGCTGCTCAACCACTGCCCTCCCTTACACACACCTCTTACACAGTGCCTGGGGGTCTAGGGGGTTCTCACCAGGGAACGCACCCCCATGCTGAACACAGCCCTAGTGAAATAAGGACGCCCTTCCGCAGTGCTGTAACAACCAGGGATTCATTTCTTGGGCAGTAGAGTCTCTGAAGGTCCTGAGAGTCTGCTTGGGACTTTAACCCTGAGTGGAGTGGATAGAGAAGACAATTTCAGAAGATTCAGCAATAAACACTGAGGGCTATTAGTGTTGCACTGCACCAGGGCCCAGCAACCTACAGAGATCAGCAGCAGAGACCAGAGGCCTGCAGAGACCCTGTAGCCTCTGCCACGACCTGGCCTTGGATGGTGGTGGCCACAGTGGCTGTGTCAGCTGCTGGACCCAGTACAAGTGGTGATAACACAAACCTGGCTAAGGAATGGGTCCCTGAATTGTAATACATCGTGCAGCTAGGTCTTCTCTGTAACAGGGAAAGGAAATCTGAACTGTCACTTCCATCCCGGTGCTCTGAAGTGCTGCGGAGACCCTGGGCTTGAGAACCCTCATCAGGTCTGTGCTGTAACCCAAAGCACCACAGAGCCCACCACGGACCTCCTCACAGCCCCTGCTCCTAACAGCTCACTGGCAGCTATCCACATCCCATCCTGCATTTCCTGATGCCAGGCAGCCCTCTGCCTCCTGAGCAGCAGGTGGTGCTCTTTTCTCTCCACTGGATCTAATCCCTCTGGGAAGGCACAAGTCTGCTCTGCTTTGATGGAGACCACTACAAAGCAGCTCTGAGAAGTATTTAAAATTAACTAATTGGCTTCTTATGTTTGCTTGTGATTCTGTCCCAGGCCATAGCTCCCTGTCTGGAGATGGGCAGTGGATTCATAGTAAGTGAACCTCTATGAGTCACTGGTACTAGCTGGGACTGTGCTGCCCTGTGATGCCATGATATGTCAAAGGATAAGATAAATCCTCAGCTAAGGATGCTTGACTCCAACCTCAATTCACTAACTAGAGACTGCAGCTGCTGGTGTCTCACTCCTGCTGTCTTAGTACTACAATGAATGTCAACCTGGAGATAAGACAGTTCTCCTATATTAGCATAATTTAGTAACTGGAGAAGTCTTTGGAGTGATTCCCAAGTTCCTGCTCAGTTCCCATGCTATCCACTTTAGCCCCTCCTTTTGAAAGCTAAAGCCCAGAGAATCTCAAATTCTGCCAAAGGGTTTTGATCCTCATGCAGCCTTAAAATCACACCACTTGTCTCTTTTTTTAATCTTGTGCTGTACACTCATTTGGGATCTTGCAGATCTGATGAGTCCAGGATAGATCTTCATCCCCCTACAGCTGCTCTTCTATCTCATTCCAAGTGGGGTTGCTGTCAGGTCACAAATGAATGCCTTGTATTATTCAGGTGAATCTGTTACCATTGTAAGAGTATGTGTTTTCTTTTAAGTGATAGACATGGCTCAGGATAAAGAATGCTTAGGTAGTTTTTTGTTTGTTTTGGTACTGCTAATAAGTGTAGGGATACGTTTATTAAGCAGAGTGCAACTTCCCTTCTGACATGGAAGGGCCTGATTGCAGTGTTAACTCACTACTGCACTCATGGCGAAGAATCTGCTCTGAAAGAGGCCACTGCAGCAGCTGATGGGTTGGAGCTAACACTGCAGAGAGCGATGCTCAGAGATCTGCAGAGGACGCAGCCTCCTGAGCAGACCCTGATGGGACTCTCACAGTTGTATCCAGGAGAGGACAATGGAGCATTTTGCAACTTGCATCTTAGAAGGAAGGACAGAGTGTCCTGCCATACTGGTCAGTTATGCCAGAGTCAAAGAGTGGCACAAAAAGGGAGGAAGACTGCTGTATTTTCAGATCGCTTGTTAGAGGCCTTCTGATAACAGTGACCCGAGGCAGCAGAGAGGAAAGAACTCCTGATCTAGCCTTTCATACTGCAGGATGTCCTAGGTAGAAGTCAGCAATAAAAACTTGAGGCAGGTCCTGCATTCTGTGACCAGCCTTTGTGTTACAATTTCAGAATCTGTGCTAACTGGGAACAGGGAGAGAAGGAGAAGAATTTAGAGTAAAAGATGCAGTTTTTTGTTGTTGCTTTAATTCAGACACTGCCTTGGGGGAAAGCACAGTACTCCTCATGAACTGGACTCAGCAAAGCCTGGGCAGGGATCAGTGGATGTATCATGAAATTCTGTGGACTCCACTTGGCCTTTCCCAGTTAAAATATGTCCAGGATGAAGCACCCCTATGCCAATTATGCATTCAAGACATGGGAAAATGAGTACAGAGTGGACTCAGACACTGAGTCTGACTGGGGCTAAATCCCCACTGATCACCAGATCTTCATAGGCCCTGACTCTCACTGCAGGGCCTCGATGAGGATTTAGATCTCAGGGTTAGTTCAGAACCACTGTCCTGGAGCCCCTCAGATGTGTGACAATCTGACTTTCTCCCAAGTGCAGTCACCTGGAAAGGGGCTGTAGGTCCCTTCAAAGGAAAGATGAGAGGAGAATTGGCAGGATAACTTTTAGATAGTGCTTCAGGATTTCTCCTCTAGGAAGCTGATTCTGTAACCTCAGTGAACTCAGGTGGTGACATGGTTCTATGTTGCCATAATTTGAGGTAGATTCTCATACATTCACTCTAGAATTTTCTGGTTATGTGAATCCAGTGGCTCTTCAGCAGGCTTCCTCTGTATGTCACTTTAGTGAACACCACGACTAATGAGCCATCACCATCAATGCACCAGTATCAGCCCATTGTGATCACTGCTTTACTCCTGTTCCTTTTATACTAAGTGCGCACACTTTGCCTTTGACAGCTGAGAACTGCCACCTGACCTCTGCCACTCTATGATCCAATTAAACCCATGGCCTTTCAGGTCTCCAGCTGAGCCACTGGTCCCCAAGTTAAGGTCCAGCATCTAGAGAACAGCAAAGGCAGGGCTCGTCAAGGAAGCCAGTGCTTCCCTTACAAGACAAATTCTTAATTGTTCATTAAAGGTACATTTCTGGATCTTTCCACTGTAGAGGAGTAGGTTTTACCTAGAAAATTCACTCCTGGCATTCTCATTTCCCGGGGGCTATAAATCCCACAATCAACATTAAGCAAAGCAACATTAAGCCTCTTTACCTGTTTAACATGGACCATCCCTTGAGTCATACTTCTGAAAATCAGATAAATAAACTACGAACACTTGCCTCCAACTATGTGTTAAATCTGTGGAAATGGGTTGATTTAACGTACTGGAAATTTAAATGAGTTGACTTGGAATTTCAGACCAAGATTAATTAGAGGTCATTGACGCAGCTAATTTGGATTATTTTTGTTGTGAGGCCAACTTGTAGTAAGTTTACACTTAATCAGTGTTTTTCCCCCCTTGGGAAGGAAGATTTTTCCAAGTAGAAAATCTGAGTCTAATTATTTATTCCAAAGTCAAACTAAACAGGGCAATGTTGTGAACACCATTATACATGCCTTGTGTTCATCATTCAGAATGTTTCTCATGTCTAATGTGTGACTGGATGTGTATACATTTTTAAAGTGAGCTTTGGTTGTTGATGTCTGCATCCCACAACTCTGAAAGGCTGTAATAAAAGTATTACAGACTTGATCCTCTCCAGTTAACTTAGTAAGACAGTGTCTCAAAAAATATTTTTTTAAGTTGGGAACATAGCTCATTTCAAAAGCACCAGCTTCAGTTCTTAAGTACTAAGGAAATAAAGAAAATTTTGATAAATAGTTTTTCAAGTTATTTCTGTCTCTTTGTTTTGTTTTGGTACACATTGTAGAACGATCTTTGTGTTCAAAACCCAAATCTGTCAAAGTCTGCAGTGTTCCTCTTGCTTCTCTAAACAGGATGTGCCAGAGGTACAAGCTGACAGGCCTGACATAGTTTCCAGTTCCATATCTCTAAAGCCCACTGGCTCACAATAGATCCCTGCCCTGCCCGATAAATGATAGATACGTAACTTATTGCAATAACTCAGGGCTCAGACTTTGGAGGGTACAGCTCTTCTGAGACCACTGGTGTAATAAATCTTGGTTCTCTCCTCTTCTCTGATTGTTGCATTTTTTATATATATCTCTAGTAAACTTAAAACTGCTGTAGCCATGTATCCTTAAGGCTCTGTGTGTGTGGAGAAGCACAGCACTGGGAGAATCTAGAGAGAAGCAAAACCTGGGGAACACCTTTATAAGAATTATCTCAGAGCAGCAGCACAATACTGATCAGCTGCATATGGCTCACAAGAGTCTATGATATGTGAAGAAACCCCGTTCTAGGAATAAATGAACCCCCATATGTTGGATCAGAAAAGTGACACTTTACAGTCTAGGAGAAAAGCAGCCTCTGCAGTATCTTGAGGACGTAAATAACAGGCAATGAAGGATTTTGCTTTTGTAACATTTCCACCCTAATTGTTGCAATATTGAACCCAAATCACCTGCAACAGTAAAGACCAGTCAAGTGGGACTTCCCCAAAAGGTAGGGACAGTTACCTCCACCCTCATCAGTACAGGACAATGGCCATATGCAGGAGTTACCCAGAGCAGGGACCCCCACAACTCTTGGTCTTGTGTTCCTTTCATCTGTCAATAAACTTTACTCTTGCTTTGCATTCTCTTCTGGCCTCTCTTACACTGGAGAGAGAAACAAGTCTGGAAACATTTGATGGTGAGGCAGTGACTTCAGAGCCACCAAAGATGCAGCACACTTCAGGGTAACATTACACATGTCCTGTAGCACCTCTGGTGTCCTGAAGGTCATGCTGTGTGCTGCGTGGGAAAGTGCCCAGTGCCATTTCAGAGGCAGTGGTGGCTGATAAATGGGAAGAACAAGTTGTCAGTGAGTATTACTCTTTTCTCCAGGAAACCTGGTTCTTATCATGACTCTTCATGTCTTCAAAGAAAAATTTCACATGAAGCAGAAGCAGAAACTCTGGACATAAAAATATTTAGTGTAAAATATAAAAGACAAGTGGAATCAATCTAAGGGAAATGTGTTTGCACTTGAAGTAAGATTAAAGTTTTAGATCACGTGCCTAATGATGCCATAAAGACAGTAAGACACAATAGAAGCCGAGTCTAAACTTTGCTGGGTGAT